GACGAGGGCGCCGAGCAGCTGCTCGGCGCCCAGGCGCCGGTGCGGGAGGCACGGCCCCACCACGCCCTGCTTCCCTGTGCTCGTCCTCCGCCCTCGCCCGTCTTCCCTCGTCCTCCCTCGTCCGCCCTCGGCCCTAAACGCTCCTCCTCCTCTTTCTCCTCCTCCTTTTTATACCGTTGCTCAGACATTATACTCCTCCTCCTCCTCCTCCTCCTCCTCTTCCTCCTCCTCCTCCTCCTCCTTCCCCTCCTCTTCCTCCTTCTTCTTCTTCCTCCTCCTCCTCCGCCAGCTCGGCTCGAGCATCGTGTTCGGGTGCCAGCCGGCACCACGGAACCCGCTGTTCCGCCCGGGCCCCACGGCGATCGCGCTGCCGAGGCTGGCAATGGACGCAGCACCTCGGCGCTGGCGCCCCAGCCGGTCTGCCGCCGAATGCCGGGCGCTGTACCGACGCGCCGAAGGCCGCGCGGTCGAGCGGCTGCTGGCGGCGTTCGCCGATCTGCGGAGCCATCGTGGTGGGGTCCCCACCCGCATGGCAGCCGCCCTGGCTGCGGCTTTGGCGGAGCCCGCGGCCGCGGCGAATGCGCCGCCGCAGGCAGCTGGAGAGGGCGATCGAGAGCGAGATCGTGGAGGGCCCATGCCAGCGGGCTCCGAGGAGACCCTGGGCGACCCGGTGGCGGTGCAACCGGCGGCTCCTCTGACGCCCGAGCGGGCGGATACCGACGCGGACATCGAGGCGGAGCCGCAGGCGCTGAAGGCGGCTGCGGCCGCGCCGTCGCAGGAGGCCACGCAGGGCACGGACGAGCCGCAGGCCTCTGCGAGCGCCCAGTGTGGGCCCCCCGTGGAGCGCCGCGCGTCGCGCGGCCAGCCCGCGCTGCCCTGCTCCCGCTGGCCCAGCCGCGGCCACCGCCGGGGCCCGTCGAGCGGGCGAGGTTCCTGACGCTGCGGGCGCAGGGTCGTTGGGCAGCTGCCGAGGCGCGGCTCGCGGCGTCAGAGGCCGCCATGGCGGCCGCGGGCCTTCCTGCTCGTCGGGCTGCCGCTCCTCCTCCTGGGGTCGCTCTGGGGGGCGGGCGGGCCAGTCCAGCGTGAGCACAGTGGGGGCCCATGCCAAGAAGCGCCCTGCTTAGCTCCAGGGCGCCCTGGGTTTTCTTGGTTTTGAGATGGAGAACCGCGACGTTCCCACACCAAAAATCCATGGACGTTTTGGGGTCTCAGGGTTCGGTTTCTTGTGGAAGGTCTCTTGTGGACTCCCCTCCGCTGTGCGCCTCTGCGGGGGGCCAGTGCCGCGGAGGGCTCCTGGGTGAGCGGCGCGAGCACGCCCCTGCGGGGGGTCAGCGCCGCCCCTCCCCTGCGCCTCGGGGGAGAGCTCCCGGGGGAGCGGCGGCGCCCTGCGGGGCGCCGCGCCGCGCACCGTGGAATTCGTCCTGGAGGGCGTGGCCCGCGCGTGCCCCCCGGCGCCCGGCCTTGCGCCCGCGGCCCTTGCGCCCTCGCGCCCGCCGGGGGGCCGCCGTTCCCCCAGCGGGGGCCGCCCTGGGCCCTCGCCCTCGGGGGCATCTGCTGGGGGAGAGGGGGGTAAAACGACGCGAAGATCGGGACAAAATCGGATCGGGTTAATTCGAAATCTCTGAGAATCGGCGGGTTTGGAGGATGTATTGGGCGCCGCGGCCGCTCCAGAGCGTTCCGGAACGCTCTGAGAGCGCTCCGGAACGCTCTGGAGCGATTTATCCCGATCTTAGCCCTGTTTTAGGGGGGGGGATGCGTTGACCCCTAATCGCCCACTGATCGCCGATAGGGGCCCGACAGCCCTGACCTGCCCAGGAACGCGCGGATTCACTATCGGGGGCCGATCGCCGATCTATCTGCGATGTATCGCCGATTCCAGGTCAATGCATCCCCCCCTATGCCAGTCCTCCCCAATCATTGCCCCCCATCTCCGGGCTGAAAACCGTGCAAGAGCCCTCCCGGAAGGGTTCGGGGAGCCTCCGCCGATGGTTCCTGGCCCGCTGCGGGGGGAGCCAGTCCCCAGCGAACCCTGGACTTTCTGGGAGTAGCGTTCGCCCCTCCTTCTGGAGAGGAAAATCACCGCCCGCCAAACCACCTCTACCCAACCCGAAGGCCCCGATTTGCCTTACATTTCCAGTGGTGGGGGGTGTCGGGGAACATTCCAACAACACGCGTGGAACTCGTCCCCCCCAGCCCGAAATTCGGGTCTTCGTGTTTGGTTTAGGTGGTCTGGTAGGTAGTCAATAAGGGAACATATGCGTTAACATTGTCGGGGGGCTGTTATTTAATCCCTGGATTCTGTGAGGGTCGGGGACGACGTCGGTGTGGTGGGGTGTATACTTGTTTCCCCGTCGTCCCAGGGGAAAGAAACAGCGAGACATGTATAACCAGGATCCCGTATGCACCAGGATCAGCTTTCTTGTGCGAGTTTCACTGGTGTAAAAAGTAAAGTTCGTCTCTTTCCCATTCGGATTGTCCAGCGGAGTGACGCTCCCACGCAGACCTAAGTTTGGCGGCGAGCCAGGGGGGAAGTGAGAAGGAAAAGACCTTCTCAGAGGGTTCGGATGTCTCCCGGCCTTCCGAGACGTTTTGTGAGCTTCCCCCGAAGACATACAACACCTTTCAGAAGGCGCGAGGGTTTCTGAGAAGTCCCGCCGCCTGCTGGGAGGGCCTTCTCCTTCTCACTTCCCCCTTCGCTCGCCGCCGATATATTCGACCTCACCATCCCCGGGGGGCTGCAATCTGCGAAGCTTTCGCACCTTTTGGTGGCTGCAGAGGGGCTCAGCGGAGTGAGGCCCCACGGGGCTCGTCCTCCCCCCTCCGCCCGTCGGGGGTCTGTTGGCTTCTCGGCGAACTCTTGTGGGCCCTCTGTCCTCTCGGCGGCGAGCGAGGGGGTGAAGTGAAAAGGAGAAGGCTATCTCTCAGAAGGCGGCGGGACTTCTCAGAAGCCTCGCGCCTCCTGACAGGTTTTCTGTCTTGGGTAGACAATTGTTTACGCTTCGCGATCTCCGCCAGCCCATTCAGATGCCCTGCCCACGAGAGCTGAAGGTAAATGGGAAGCAGAGACGCATATAGTGAAACAGAGCGGTCAAAGAGAGGAGGGGAAGAAACATGTTGAGCCATGTTGGAGGCTATCCCGGAGAGGCCTTCTTGGACCTGTTGGGTTTTTTGGGGCGTCTTGGTGTCCTCATTGGGTTTGTTTGGGGCCACTTGGGGCCCTCTTGGGGCTTTGTTGGTGGGTCTTGGTGTCCTCTTGGGACTTGTTCGGGGCTCTTTTGGTGCGTCTTGGGGCCCTCGTTGGGCCCCTCTTGGGGCCCTCTTGGGGCTCTCTTGGGGCTCTCCTGGTAGCTTCAGAGGGCATTCTGAGGCCATCTTGGAGGCCATCGATCAAAGGAGGGGGGGTCCTAAATTTCCCCCCCCCCTCCAGGGCCATCAACATAGCCTCTTGGGGCGCTCTTGGGGCCCTCTGGGGGCGATCTTGGGCGCTCTTGGGGCCGTCTTTGAGGCCTCTTGGGTCCTTCTTGGAGCTTTCTTGGGCCGTCTTGGGGCCATCTGGACTCCTCAAAAACGCATCGGAAGCGAAATGGCGAGAAGGCCAAACTTATTGGTTTTCCTTAGGTCTTTGAATGGCTTGGGCTTCTCAGGGGGGTCTTGGGGGGTCTCCGAAAGCACTTCGATCCGTCTTGTGGCCTTCGTGGGGCCTCTTGGAGGCATGCTGCTAGCTATCTTAAGCCATGATGGGCTATCTTGAGCGATCTTGGAGGCTATTTTGGAGCATCGGAGGCCTTCTTGGAGCCATCTCGGGCGAACAAGGATCCTCAAACGACCCGCGCTGCCCACCTGCCCACAAGCAGTCTGGCTCATTCCCACCCGCCCTCCCAACACATAAGTAACACCCGAGCCTGAGCATGTTCAGCCTTCGTCTTTGGAGTGACAGCTGCTGGGAACCAACGCCGACCCCAGGTGCGCGACGCTTGGGCGAGGTGCGCCACGCGTGCCAGGGGCGAAACGCGCGCCAGGCACCCCTGGGGCCCGAGCGTGGCAGGCACGCCTGGTGCGCCAGATGCGCCACGTCCGCCACGTGCTCCGAGTGCGCCAGGTGTGCCGCACACTCCAGCCACGCCAGGTGCGCCATGTTCGGGGCACGTGCAGAGTGCGTCAGGTGCGCCTGCGCAGCTGACAGCTCGGCCACCGCAATCCTTGTCGAAACCAGTGCCCATGGTTGTGTCTGTTGGGTCTGCGCAAAGCAGGCCACGCGCCACCATCCCCGCCGTCCCTGGCAAGCACCACTTGACAATGCTCGCGGGATGGTCGCGCATGATCCAGATTGAGCCGCGAGGTGCATGTTGTATTGTTTTTTTTTGTTGTCAGGGGTGATAGCCCTGCGCACAGCAGGGAATATGCTGACACCCCGCCGTCCCTGTCAACATCAAAACACTGTGCTCGCGGGCCTCACGAACATGACTCAAGACGTTGTCCCAAAGTGGACTTTGCACTGTTCCCAACTATCCTGTGGTGTTGGGTCCTTCTTCCTTGAAGGACAGTGCCCCGCGTCTCATTCCTCTCCTCTCCTCTCCTCTCCTATCCTCCCCTTCCTCCCCCTCCTCCTTCCCCCCCTCCTCCCACCATCAGCATCACCATCGTCCTTCCCCTCCTCCCTCCTCCCGTGCCGTCATCTTATCATCATCATCATCATCATCATCATCATCATCATCATCATCATCATCATCATCATCATCATCATCATCATCATCATCATCATGATCATCATCGTCGTCCGAGGGTGGCCCGATAGGGTGCGTCGTCCGAGGGTGGCCCGATGGGGAACTCCGCAGAATTCTCCAGTGGCAGTGTTCGCATGGCGCCACCGCACCAATTTCGGCACACCCCTCACACGGTTCGCGGCCCCATAGGGAGTTCCACCGAAGGCCCCAGTGGCAGGGTTCGCATGGCGCCAGCGCGCCCCAGCACATCCTTCACACGGCTCGTGGCCCCATAAGGAGCTCCACCGAAGGCCCCAGTGGCAGGGTTCGCATGCAGTTCCACCGTCATCTCGGCGCACCCCTCACACGGTTCGTGGCCACATGTGGCAGGGTTCGCATGCAGTTCCACCCTCCTCTCGGCGCACCCCTCACACGGCTCGTGGCCACATAGGGAGCTCCATCGAAGGCCCCAGTGGCAGGGTTCGCATACAGTTCCACCTTCATCTCGCCCCACCTCTCACACGGTTCGCGGTCCCATAGGGAGTTCCACCGAAGAACACAGCGGCAGGGTTCACATGCAGTTCCACCCTCATCTCGCCGCACCCCTCTCACGGTTCGTGGCCGCATAGAGAGCTCCACCGAAGGCCCCAGTGGCAGGGTTCGCATGCTGTTCCACCGTCATTTCGGCGCACCCCTCACACGGTTTGGCGGACTTCACGGCCGATTTCGTCCTGCTCGCGGTATTCGCAGTCGCTTAGGCTATACCGCGTGCGTTATTCGGAGTTTGCGCGCCTTCTTCCTTCCCTCGCGGTATTCGCAGCTACATATGGTTGGGTCCTTCGTCAGGCTGATTTTTTGATAGGGATGGTGGGGGGGTCGCATTTGATTGGCCGCGCATGCTCCACATGTGGAGGCAAAGTGCGGTTTGTGCTGTTTTTTGGCAGGGATGGGGGGGGCGGGCCCTCATGGAGTTGACATGGTTCTTGGTTGGCCGCCGGCAGGGTTGGGGAGGGAGGGGATGTATATTAACAAGGAATAGTGATAAACCCCTCCCCGAAGGGGAAGAAGAGGTTGTGGAAGAGGAAAGAAAGAAATTGTTACACGGCCTGTCGCCCAGAGGGCTGGCGGGACTTCTCAGAAGGCCTTGGAGCTTCCGAGCCTGCCGAGAAGGCCCGCCCATTCTCACTTCCCTCCCAGGCCCGCCGCCGAGTTTTTCTTCTTGACGGCGCGCCCCTGTTCGGGTTGCCGGTCCCGGGGCGGCCCAGCGCCGCGCGGGCCGCCGAGGATTCACGGTTTTTGCCAAGGGGTTGGTTCTTTTTCTATGCGCCCTCCGGGCCCCCGTCCTCGTCCTCAGCCCGTCTCCTCGTTTGCCACCCTCCTCTACCAGCCTGCTCCGCCGCCAGCCCTCCTCCTTCCCGAGGCCTCAAGGGTGCGGACCGGTATGTGCCTAACACTTCCCTCCTCCTCCTCCTCCTCCTCCTCCTCCTCCTCCTCCTCCTCCTCCTCCTCCTCCTCCTCTCCCTCCCTCCTCCCTCCCTCCCTCCCCCTCCCTCCCTCCCTCCCTCCCTCCCTCCCTCCCTCCCTCCCCTCCCTCCCTCCTCCCTCCCTCCCCCCTCCCCCCTCCCTCCCTCCCTCCTGCTTCGAAGCTCGAGGCTTTGACTCGCTGTGAGCCGTGGGCGGGCTGGAGGCCCGACGCTCGTGGCCCTTTTTCTCTGTCCCGGAGCTGTCTCTCTTTCTGCGCCGGAGCGGCTGTCGGTTCCGAGGGGCGTCTTGCCCGTCTCCCTCCGCCCTCCTCCGCCGCCTCCTCCTCCTCCTCCTCCTCCGCCTCCTCCTCCTCCGCCCCCCCGCCCTCCACCTCCACTCTCCAACCCGCTCCCTCCCTCCCTCCCGCCCGTCTCCACGTTTTCCTGCGTGCGGCCGCGGCTTCGGGGCACCCTCGCTGCCCTTCGTGGCCCCGCTGCTGCCCCCAGTGGCCCCGACCTTGCCCTCCGCGGCCCAGTATACGCATGCCCTTCGTGGCCCCCGCTCGTTCGCGCTCGTCGTGGCCCCGTACGCATTCCCTTCGTGGCCCCGCTGTCGCCCTTCGTGGCCTACTTCGTGTCCTTGTGGCCCGGACCGCACGGGGCTGACAGCGAGCAGAGCGGCTCGGGCCCAGGCCCACACCATCGCAGCACCCCAGTCGGGGACGTGCCCCTCGAGGTTCGAACGCGGCAGCCTATGGGGAGGGGGTAGATCGGCCAGTGGGGCCCAGGCCACGTCCAGGGGGATTCGGTCGTCCCGAGGTATGAGATCGGGGTCTGTTCGGGGAGGGTACCCTAATGGTCTTCGTGCTTGTTGGATGTTCTTGTGCATCCTGGGGAGGATACCCTTGGATGTTCTGTGTGTGTGTGTGGGCTGGTGGAGGGTCTCATGTTCTTGAAGGCGGTTCTTTCGTCTAGGCCTCCTAGATGGGGTCCGAGTAGATGGGGTCGGAGGATCGCGCCGCATCGCCGATACATTGACGATGCGGCTCGATGCGGAGCCCGACTTTCTCCACACCGACGTCGCCGACGCATCGCCGATGTCGCCGATGCATCGCCGATGCATCGGCGATGGATCGCCGATGTATCGGCGATGCGGCGCGATCTTCCGACCCCATCTACTCCGACCTCATCGAGGATGCCTCTATTTTGGCCTAGGTCCGACTGTAGGGGTCGGTTAAACTCAGGAAGAAAAGAAACACAGAGACACAATTAATCGTCGATTCCCAAGTAATATGGGAAACTATGGGAAGTGGGGAGGAAGACAAAAAACAAGAAAATATCGGAAAATATGGGGAATCCTGTTATTTGTGTGCATTTCTTTGTGTGTCCCAGGGCCCCTTCATAAACGATGCTCAGGAAGGAGAGACAGAAAGAGAGAGAGAGAGAGAGAGAGAGAGAACGAGAGAGAGAGAGAGAGAGAGAGAACGAGAGAGAGAGAGAGGCGGCAGCGCAGAGCAGAGCGACGGCAGCCCACCGTGCTATGGCGTGGCTCGAGATCCTCGTGGGCAGGGCGACGCCCTCTGTCTGGCGGGGACTGCATCCCAGAGTGCATCATGCGCCTTCAGAGTACGTAGCGAGTTTTCAAAGCACATGGGTCCATCAACGCTCCACTGCGACCAACTCCCAGGAGCCAACCAACTACACACTCGAATTCGCTCCGACAGTATCTATCCGCAGCCTGATTGCCCCGCGAGGGAGCACGTTCAGGTACAGTTGGGGCCCATATCAAGAAACACCCTGCTTGCCTCCAGGGTGCCCTGGGTTTCTTGGGTTTTTCGCTGGTTCTACCATGGAAGGCGTGACGTTCCCACACGAAAAAGTCGATTGACGTCCTGCTGGGTTTCTTGTGGAGTGTTTCTTGTGGTCGGGCCCGCACTGTACACACATCACGGCGGGATTTGTTCCCTGCTGTGGAAGGGGTCGGGGCTTCCAGCCCCCCGTATTGAACATCATCAAGACATCGCACGTCTGGGATCTTTTCCTCGCCCATCGATCCTTTTCGCGTAACTAGACCTGGCACTCCCACTGGGTAGCTGGTGAAGCCACCCCGGGGACCCAGCTAGTGCAACGCTAGGTACACCGCATATTGTCCATGCTGTCGAGATTACTGTGCAGTGGTCTTTTCTCCGACGGGTGCTGCCAGGAGCGTGCGAGGCATAAGGTTGAGGGATCAGACGCAGCAGCATTAGATTTGACTGTGCCCGACAGGCCTCTCAGTGTCTCACTTATTGTGACGCATACAATTCACACCCAACACCTGCACATGCGTTTCCCTTCCCCTTGCCCCTCCTCCAGTCCCCTTCCCCTCCCTCTCTTCCCCGCAGCCCCTCATCCCAAACCCGTCCTCTTGGCGGCTTCCCGTTCTCCACCCGTTGCCCTTCCTCCCCCCTCTGCCTCTCCCCGTCCCCGCCCCAGAGACATCAGCGCAATGGGAACGGATGGGTGGGAGGGGTAGGATGCCAGATGCTGTCAAGACACTGAAGTCAGGACCGTTTTGGACTCATGAGGGGCTCTGGCTTTCTCAGGAAGGAAAGAAACACACAGACACAATTAATCGTCGATTCCCAGGAAAATATGGGAAAATATGGGGATTGGGGGGGAAGACAAAAACCCAGAAACTATGGGAACATATGGGGAATCCTTTTATTTGTGTGTATCTATTTGTGTGTCCTGGGACCCCTTCATTTTCGTTCTTTCAATCAAGGCCGGGGAACCTCGTCGTGGCCGAGACTCGCCGTGGCCCGACAAGCCCCTCCCCGTCCCCTTGCCCACCATTCCTCACAGTCGACCCGCATGGTAAGGATGAGCGACGTTCCCGAGGGCACCCTTGCATCCTTCCCTCCTCGGTCCATCCTTGGCCACTTTCGTTGGCCTCGCCCCGCTCGAACGGCTTCGAAGTTGGCGTCCAAGGCCCCTGCATCCTTATCGCGCATCCTTGTGATACGGGCCGACTGCTGTAGTGTAGCACGATCACAATCTGGCGCGAGCGCACTTCGCTTCCCGCCCCCCCTCTCTCCCCTTCCCGCCCCTGGAGTTCTCCCCCCCCCCCCCGCAAGGCAGACGCCCGAGGCGCCCCTGCGGGGGGCCTGCGCCGGCTCTGCTGTGGCGGGGCCACCTTCTGCGCCGGCATGGGCTCGGGGATGCTGCTGAGCGCGCTGCTGCTGATCGCCGTGGTCTCCGTGGCCCAGAACGGCGGCCTCGTCCGAGGCCTTCCGGCCGCCTCCCTCCCCCTCCTCCCCTTGGCCCTCTCTCTGTCTCTCTCTCTCTCTCTTGTATCCGAGGCTATGCCTCGTCTCGGCCTCGCTCTGAGGCTCCGCCGCTTCCTCCCTCCTCTTCTCCGCCTAATTCAAGCTTCGCGCGGCCCGCTTAGCTTCGACCCGAAGAGGTGCGCTCTCGACCCGCGGATCAAAAACTGTCTCTCTCTCTCTCTCTGTATCTCCCTTCCTTTCTGTCTCTTCAGGAGAGGGGGGGGGCGGGCGAGGGGTCGCCCAGGCCCTGCGCCCTCCCCTCTGGGGGAGGCCAGCCTGTGCACCGGCGCCAGCACCCCGCTCGCCCCTGGCCCCCTCCCGGTCTTTGTACCAGCCGCTGGCCCAGAGAGGACTTGTGCGAATCGAAGAAACTAGGGGAACAACAAGTGACATAAACATAAAAACTCGGAGGTCCGCGCGGATTTCTCGGATCGGCGCTGGGGCCCCCCGGCGGCGCCTCCGGCGCCGCCCCTGGCGCGCTCCGCGCGCCAGGGAGGGGGGTCCAGCGCCGATCCGAGAAATCCGCGCGGACCTCCGAGTTTTTATGTTTATGTCACTTTTTGTTCTTCTAAGAAATCAGGGGCAACGATAGGGGGGGATAGGCGTAGGGGATGCGTCGACCCCCAATCGCCCACTGATCGCCGATAGGGGCTTGATAGCCACAACCTGCCCAGGAAGGTGTGGACTCACTATCGGGGCCCTATCGCCGAACTGTCGGCGATGTATCGCCGATTCCAGGTCGATGCACCTCCCCCTGTGCCAGTTCCCCCCCCTCTGGTCGCCCCTCAAGAAGAAACGGCAGAAACATAAACTTTTGGCACTCTGCGCGGATGTCTTGGATCCGCGCTGGGGCCCCCCTGGCGGCGTCTCCGGCGCCGCCCGTGGCGCGCGTCCAGCGCGGATCCAAGAAATCCGCCCAGAGCGCCCAAAGTTTATGTTTATGCCGTTTGTCTTCTTCTAGCTTAGCTGCCTCAATGCGCCCGTTTTGGAGCGCAACACGTACCGATCTTCAAGCGTCCGTGCCAGTACGTTGCGGGTTGGCTCAGCGTATTCGCCCACATTTTGGCGAACCCATGGCGTCATACCCACGTTTTCAGTCTGCGTGTGGAGCTCCGTATCGATCAGTGCGCTGCGTTTTGCGTGTTGCGTATCGGGGACGCCAGGGATTTGTGCGCCAGCTCCCCAGAGCCCCAGACGAGCCTGGCCTGTCATCCAGGTGCCTGCCCGTGCTCGGCGTTCTCCCCGTCGTCCCAGGCGCCGCCGCGTGCCGTTCTGAAGGACCCCCCCCTGTCGCAGAGGGGAGGCCGTCTGGCCTCAGAGGCAGCGCGGGGCGGCCCGTGAGTGTGCCCAGCGGGGCGGTGCCTCCCCCGACGACAGAGCCTTTTGCGAGCCCAGCGGGGAGGTGCCTTCTGCCGCCAGAGGAGCGGAGCTGTTGCCCCTCGTTGCCTCTGCGCTGCCTGGGCGGCCCTCGGGCGGCGGTCGGTTCCGCTCCTGGCTGGGCCGCTGAGGCCCGCGCGCTGGCTTCCGGCACACCCTTCAGGGGCAACGACAGGGGGGGGATATGCGTAGGGGGGGGGATGCATCGACCCCCCATCGCCCACTGATCGCCGATAGGGGCCCGACAGCCCCAGCCTGCCCAGGAACGTGCGGATTCACCCTCGGGGGCCCGTCGCCGATCTATCGGTGGTGCATCGCCGACTCTCGAGGTCGATGTTTCCACCCCGGTGCCAGTCCCCCCCATCGTTGCCCCTCGACCCTGGGGCGCGCGTGCGCGCGCGTGTCTGAAGGGAAACTGGGACACACAAATAAATACACACAAATAAAAGGATCCCCCATATTTTCCCATATTTTCTGGGTTTTTGTCTTCCCCCCCACTTCCCATATTTTCCCATATTTTCTAGGGAATGGCCGATTAATTGTGTCTGTGTGTTTTTTCCCCTCCTGAGTGTCGTCCTCCGCGTGGCCCTCGTCGCGTCCACCAGGCCAATCCGCCCGCCCCCTCGCCCCCTGCCACCTCCCCGCCCCCGCCCCCCTCGAGGCAGGAGGGACAGGGGGGGCCGTCCAGGTAGTCGTCTTCGTCGTTGTCGGCGGCGGCGCCGTCGTCGCCGCCGCCGTCGTCGGCGTCGTCGTCGTGGGCGTCGTCACCGTCGTTGTCGTCGTGGTCGTCGTCGTCGTCGTCGCCCGTTTTCGTCGTCCACTTTCGTCGTCGTCGGCGGCGGCGGCGGAGGCGTGTTTGTTGTAGTTTGCTGGCGCCAAGGGGGAGGAGGCGCCGTTGCCGTTTGCCTGCGCCAGAGGGGGGGGAGTCGAAATTCTTTTCCCTTCTTGTGCGGGGAGGGGGGGGGGCGTAACCCCCTCTTGGGCTCCCCAGGGGGGTTTTGGGGTCCATTCTTTTAGAGGGGTATTTCTTTTCGCGGGGTCGGTGACTGGTTGTTGTGCATAGAGCCCATCGCTATGTTTTCAAGCCAAGCGTCAGTGAAACGCGCTCTTTCAGAGGGTTGCAGACATGTGTCTCGGGGGTATGTGGGCCCGGACATGTGTTGTGCTCACGAGCGCATATGTGACGATTTCAGTGAGGTGCGGATCGTCTCCCTGGATCTCGCCGAACTCAGACAAAACTTCTTTCCGTTTGCGAGACTCCCAGTCACCGCTCTTGCCGCGCGTGTCGCAGTAGCTACCCTTTGGCACCTCGCAGGCGGCGCGACAATTTCTGGCGCGAGCACCGACGTCCCAGGCGACCTGCGCAAGATGCTGGTGGTGGCGAGGAGCCTGGGCAGAGACGCTTCACGACCCGCCTTCCTCCGCCTCGCGCATCTCTCTGCTCTCTCTCGCTACTTGACCGGCCGACAGACCACAAGGGTGGCCGCCTCGAGCGGTGGCCAGCAAGCAGCGAGGAGCGAGGAGCGAGGAGCGAGGAGCGAGGAGGAGGCGGAGGCGGAGGAGGAGGAGGCGGATGAGGCGGAGGAGGAGGAGGCGGAGGAGGAGGACGAGGCGGAGGAGGAGGAGGAGTAGGCGGAGGTTGAGGAGGAGGAGGCAGAGGAGGAGGAGGCGGAGGAGGAGGAGAGGAGGAGGAGGAGTGGGAGGATGTGGAGGAGAGAAGGAGGAGGAGGAGGAGGAGGAGGAGGAGGAGGAGGGAGGAGGAGGAGGAGGAGGAGGAGGAGGTGGTGGCGTTGGAGGCGGAGGATGAGGAGGAATAATCATAATAAGAGTCATAATAGTAAAATTCAGCGGAGGATGAGGAATATATGGAGGAGGAGGAGGAACATGAGGAGGAGGAGGAGGAGGACGGAGTAGGAGGAGGAGGAGGAGGAAGCGGAGGAGGATACACATCTAGTAACAAGAGTAACACCAAGACGAACATTGTTAAGAACACTTGCACGAACATTACCGTCCGCATTAGTATTTGTTTTATTATAGTTTTCATACGCAGACTACTACTACTACTACTACTACTACTCAGAAGACGAATCATTCTAAGAAGAGGATTCGGACTACCAATCATTATAGTAATCTGACTAATGCCAGTACCAATGCGAAAGGTGTCGACCAATCTTACTATTACTACTACCATTATTTCTTCTTCGACTACTGCTATTACTACTAGTATTACTACTACTAGTACTACTACTGCTACTATTACTACTACTACCCACTACTACGACTACTACTGCAGCTACGACTACTACCACCACTACCACTACTACTACTACTACTACTACTACTACTACTACTACTACTACTACTACTACGACTACTACTACTACGACTACGACTACGACAACAACAACAACAACTACTACTACTACTACGACTACTACTACTACTACTGCTACTACTACTTCTACTTCTACTACTACTACTACTACTACTGCTACTACTACTACTACTACTACTACTACTACTACTACTACTACTACTACTACTACTGTTATTATTATTACTACTACTACTACAACTACTACTACTATAATTATTATTACTACTACTATTATTATTATTATTATTATTATTATTATTATTATTATTATTATTATTATTTGTGCTACTACTACGACTACGACTACGGCTACGGCTACGACGACTACTACTACTATGACGACAACTACGACGACTACTACTACCACTACTACTGTTACTCATACTATTCATAGTGATCGCAACCCTATTAATATTCATAATAATAGGGATCGAATAATCATATCAACGCTCAGCAGAACAAGAGGAGCACTATTACTATTCTTATGAAGGAGGCGGAAGATAGTCAGAGGGAGGAGCGTTTGGGCCGGAGGAGGTTGAGCAGGGAGGGGGAGGATGGAGGAGTCGGCAGGGGGAGCCCCCGAGGAACAGCACGGAGAGCCGGATCGAGCCCGTCGTGTCCGACGGCTCTCCGGGAGCCCGCAAGACGGCGCCGCGAGCCGGCGTCGGGGCGGGCAACGAGGGAGGGGTCTTCTTGCCACGGCAGTCGTGCGGGGCTGGCTCGGCCGGGGAAGCATCGGCTCCCGAAGCGCCCAGTTTTCACGCCGATCGGGGCCCCAGTGCCGCGCCCGTCCCAGAGGCGCGGGTTCGCGAGTCCAGAAGCCGAAAACTTCAGTGACAGTGTTGCCCCTCTGTGACAGGCGGGCTTTTTTCTTGGAGAGGCGTAGGCCCTCTGCGACAGAAGGGGCCCCCTTCCCGTTCCTCCTTCTCCTACCCTCCCTCCTTCTCCTGCGCTTCCTCATCCTCCTCAATGTCCCCCCCCCAAGGACGTGGGCAACACGCACGCGCACTGGCGATGATGTTTCTAAGCTCGGCCAAAGCTCGGCCTTGCTTGCGGAGCGAGTTCGGAGCTCAGGGGGGGGCCTGTCGCGGGTTCCATCGCAACGTTCCTCCCCCGAGTGAGTTCCCCCCCCTCGTTTCCCCTCGCAGGGGTGTCGCAACCGGGAGAGGGGCGTCGGGCTCTTCCTTTGTGCACATCAATTCTTATTCCAACATGCCCGCAGCCAGGTTTCTGGCACCTCGTGGACGATGTTTGGCACCGGGCGGAGACCACTGAGACTTCGATTTCAGTGACCACTCAGACCGCCACAAACACTTACACGACTGTCAGCACGACGACAGCGCTGCCCGAAACGGCCACAACCACAACGCGAGTGGTGACCACTGCCACCACAGCCACCTCTACGACCGGGGATGAGTGCGCGGTGCCGGAGATCGGGGATGACTGCTACAACAATGTCATCTCGGGGGCGGACAGACCTCACACCCTGACACGTCGATTAGTGAATTGTCCGTTTTGGTTTCTCGAGAGGGCGCCGCGGCCGTCATTTTCCAGGCTTGCGCCCGCCAGGTTTGGGCCCGAGGTCGTTTTCACTAAACCACGTTTTACTAAAGGGGGGTCTGTCCATCCCCGATCATCAAAGAGATGTACCAGATCCGGAAGGAGACGGCAAGCTACAAGGTCGGGGCGGGGGCCCGCTGCGATCTCTGTTTGGGACCGGGCCGAAACGCTCCGAGGAGGCCGCGGCGCGCGAGGCATCCTCCAGATCCGCCAGACCTCAGAGGTTCTCGATGTACCATCCTCGCCCGATGTTATCCTCATCCTGGCTCCTTTCTAGTACATGCTCCCCCCCCACACCCTTGGACTTCACGCGCACGGTCCTGTTTGGGCGATCGGAGCGTGGGCCCCCGCAAAGGGCCTGGGCCTGAGCATTTGGTCGTCGTTCGAGGAGGTCCAGGATTTCCTGCACTCGGCAAGCAAGCAGAGCAGCTGCGGGAGGAGCTGCGCGTGCGAGACGGCCCTCGCCGGGTCGAAGTGCTACGAGAGCATCGCCTACGTCATCAACGAGGGCATCAGGGATCACCCCGAGTGGTACCCCCGCCGACGGGGCGTCTGCGGGGGTGTCGATGGGGTCCTGGCAGGTCCCTGGAGGTCCTGCGAATCGGGGGCGGCCAAGAGGGGGCTGCTGACTAGGGGGGCGGGTGGATGTCATGGTGGGTGCCACGGGATCTCCCCAGATCTTATTGCGCCTCTTCTTGTTTCAATCTGTCCACGGCCCCATTCTGGCCGCGCACACGCCGTCGGCCATGATCTGTGCGCCCCCCTCTGGGACGCCCCCCTATTGGCCGCCCCTAAATGAAGGCCTCCAGATGCCCCTGGAGGTCCGAAAAGGGCTAGCCACAGCCAGCAAAAATCAGCCCTCGATCCTCGATCACCCTCGAGGTACAAGGGCTTGTCGCCGGACTCGGCCCCGCACGAGTTCCAGAGCCACCTCAGCAGGTGGGTCAGCGAGGCGAACTGCTCGAGGCCTTGCAAGGCGGCGGCCTGGGGGAGCGATAAGCCCGCACAGCAAGTGGCATAGTCAGCCCGCATAGTGAGGAACAGCAACTTTCCGAGGTTATTCTTGCATCCTTCCCCTTCGGTCCATCCTTGGCCGCTCTCGCTGGCCGCGCCCCGCCTGCAGAATGCCGACATGGCCTTACGAGGCGCCCGCATCCTGATCCCGCGTCCTGGTTATACGGGTTGACTGTACACGCTGGTCGTTGAAAGTAGGTATTTTTGTAGTCCCAGATCCCAATTTACTTCAAGCGCCTTCCTACTTCAAGAATCGATGTGCTCTCGGTCGTTTCGTTATTCCTTGGGAGGGCCTGAACCCAATCTACGTTATCCGCCTTTCACTTCATGCTTTTACCTACTTCGTCCGACCGACGTGTACGCTCCTGCTCTCGTGTCCAGGGCACTGCTGGTGTCAAAACCGCTTATGACTTGTTACCTCTTGGGGAGGGCGGTCGGGCCTGACGACCCCGAGGCGCGGGTTAAAACACGGGTTGACTGTACGCTCTTGCTCTTCGTCCTCCCTCCGGGGCAAGGCTCGCCGGCGAGCCCGGGGGGGGGGGGAAATAGAAGGAGAAGGCCTTCTGAGAAGGCGGCGGGGCTTCTTAGAAGCCCGCCAGCCTTCTGGGAAATCTTCTGTGCCTTCTGGGAAGGCTCAGGAAGCTTTGTAGAAGGCTGGCGAACTTCCGAGCCTTCTGAGAAGGCCCGCCTTCTTTCTGCAGGCCTCCCAGATGCGGTCTGAGTAGATGGGGTCGGAGGATTCGCGCCGCATCGCCGATGCATCGACGATGCGGCTCGGTGTGGAGCCCGCGTTTCCCCACTCCGATGTCGCCGATGCATCGCTGACGTCGCCGATGCATCGCCGATACAGCGGCAATGCATTCGCGATGCGGCGCGATACCTCGACCCCTTCTACTAAATCGGGCTGTCCCCCTACAGGGGAATTTTCGACGAAAATGAAAAATACCACAAACATAGCCAAACAATTGCCCCAGTGCGACCCTACCTAGACGGTGGAGCCCCTAGGAAAACAGCATTAGTTGCTATGCTATGCTATGCTATGCTATGCCATGCTATGCTGCGCTATGCTCTGCCATGCTATGCTATGCTATGCTGCGCTGTGCTATGCTGTGCTGAGCTGTGCTGCGCTATGCTATGCTGTGCTATGCTATGCTGCGCTATGCTATGCTATGCTGGGCTATGCTATGACATGCTATGCTGCGCTATGCAATGCTACGCTATGCTATGCTATGCTATGCTCTGCTATGCTAAAACTCAGCGAAGCTAATCTGCAGGTAAGCCACGCTAAGATAAACCTGAGCTAAGATGAAGCTAAGCTAAGCTAAGATGAAATCAGCTAAGCTAAGGTGAGATAAGCAACGCTACGCTAAGGGGACGTAACTGGGGGAACCGCGGGGCGGATACTGGGGGAACCGCCCGAGGCGGTGTGCACTGCCCGGGCCCTTTAAGAAAGAGAGTGAGAACCCTCTAGGCAAAGCCCAGGTAGGGAATAATCCCAAAATAGTCAGGGGACTATTGTTTAAACCGTATTGTTTGACCTTTTTTGTTTTTTTTTCCGTCGAAAATCCCCCTGTAGGGGGACAGGCCCGACATAACCCTTCTATTCGGACCCCATCCAGGAGGCCTCTGCTTTCATTTCCCTCCCGGGCGGGCCGCCGATGCCTCTGCCCCTGGCATCGCTCGGACGTGTGCATTTTTCCGTCGGCGAGGACCATCGAGGAGCATCCTTGATCATTTGGCGAAAAAACATGCACGAAACCGAAACAAACACAGGAAATGGACGTTCGAGAGATGGCCAGTGCCTCCCCGGGGCGAGGCGGGGGCCTGGCGCAGCGACCCCTCGCTGTTCTGCTGGACCGTGGCGCAGACCGCGGGCTACGAGGCGGACGTGATGAGGTCCCAGCTGGAGGCCCTCGAGGGCAGCAGCAGAGGAAGGAGGAGGAGGAGGAGGAGGAGGAGGAGGAGGAGGAGGAGGAGGAGGAGGAGGAGGAGGAGGAGGAGGGAGGAGGAGGGCGGCGGAGCGAGGCGGAGGCGGATAAGCGGAGGCGGAGTCGAGAGCGGAGGAGGGGGAGAGGCGAGGCGGAGGCGGAGGGGCGGAGTCGGAGGCGGAGCGGAGGCGGGGCAGGCGAGAGGGGAGGAAGGGAGGATAGAGTATGAGGAGGAGGAGATGAGGAAGCAGGAGGAGGGAGGAGGAGGAGGAGAGGAGGATGAGGAGGAGGAGGAGGAGGAGCAGAGGAGGAAGAAGAGGATGTGAGGAGGAGGAAGGAGGAGGATGAGAGGAGGAGGAGGCTGAGGAGAATGATGAGAGGAGGTAGAGGAGGAGGAGGAGTAGGAGGATTTAGGGATGAAGGAGGTAGAGGATGAGGAGACGGAGGAGGAGGAGTAGCGGATGTATTCTGATTCGTCTGCGTTCGGCTCTGAGGTCGTAGAGTAGGCTGAGTCTTCATTCTTCTTCTGTTTTTCTCTTCGTCTTCTTTAGTGCGATTTAGTCTCTCTTATGTTCTGATGGACACTCATGTTGCTGCTCAGCGTCATAATCTTGACGTCCCTACCCCCCCCTCCCATTCCTACCATTGGCGCCTGATTTTCTCTATCCGCGACCGCGTGTCGTAGCGGACCGCTGTGCTGTGGCTCCGCGGGCGCGCAACGTGCGTAGAGTCACGCCCGTCCACATGGTGTTGGGGTGGTGGTGCAAAAAACGTCGTGGGGCGTGCGTGCGTGGCTGGACGATTGCGTGTGTGGCGTGGTTGTCGTGTGGTTGTGGTGGTGGTGGTGGTGGTGGTGGTGGTTTTGGTGTTGGTGTTGGTGTTGTTGTTGGTGGTGGTGGTGGTGGTGGTGGTGGTGGTGGTGGTGGTGGTGGTGGTGGTGGTGGTGGTGGTGGTGGTGGTGGTGGTGGTGGTGGTGGTGGCGGTGCGGCGCGGTGGTGGCGGGTGGATGGCCGCGCGAGAAAAAGGCCCGCGCTGGGGCGAGAACGCCATCCTGAACGACGGAGGCCAAACACCGATCCGAAAATGAGGCCCACGCTGCAGCGGGAGCACGATTCGGAACGATTCGGGAGCAGAAATGAGGCCGGCGCCTCAACGAGAGCAGCATTTTGGGAAAAAATGACGTCGGCGCCTCAGCGAGAGTCGTTTCC